GGAGCTACCTTGGCGACGATGAACTCCGCATCCTCCGGACTGTCCAGCTGCAGCTTCTGGGCGATATCAGCCAGGGAGATGCGGGAGTAGGAGAGGCTGATCATGCGGACGCCTGCGGGGGAGGAAGGAGAGTGGAGCCGCCCGGGCCAGGCAGCGCCGGGCACGCCGAGCCCGCGGCCGTGACGGTCTCTTACCCGTCTTGATGACGTTGTGCCTCAGACGAATGATCAGGGTGTAGGTGCCGTCGGCCTGGAACTTGTGCCCAAACTGATCGAGAACTTGGTTGAACTTGGCCAGGTTTCCAGTCCTGACGGCTGGAGGAGAGAAGCTCTTAATGGGGAGGAGGAGCGAGGGCTGGGGTGTGGCGGGGAACCCGAGGAAGGGCCGAGTCCCAGGCCTGTCCTCTCCTCCCAGGAGCTGCTGCCTCGGGTCCCAGAGGGGTGTCGGGGGGCCACGAGAGGGGAGTGGGGGGGCCACGAGAGGCCCCGGTCGTACCCTGAGTCAGGAGGAAGTAGGGCATGAGCGAGCGCTTGAGGGAGGGCTGTCTGAACTGGAGCCTGTCCGGGATCTCCCCCAGCAGCAGTTCCACCACGATGAGCAGTTTGTGAACCTTGAGCAGAGAGAGACACGGTGAGACCCCGCGGGGCCCAACCCCCAGAGAGCGTCCCCGGGAGGTTCCAAACCCTGACAAACGTCCCGTCCCCGCTCACCGTCTGCTTGAAGCCGACGGCCGTGTGCTGCGGCGCCTTCCGCAGCGCGTTGGTCATGGTCCTCCGCGCCTCCGAGTACTCCAGCTGGATGGCCTTGATGCGCCCTGCGGTCACACGGGGCGGAAGGCGTTTGGAAAAGCCACCGAGTGAATCCAGCTGGATCCACCCCGACGGGGCTTCAAATCCTGCCTGGAAGCCCCATCTCCAGCTGCTCAACGGGGTTCTCCGGGGAGCCGGAGCCCTCGATCTGGGGCGCAGCCCAAGCTGCCAGCGCCGTGCGGGACCCTCTGTGTCTCACCTGTGTAATAGAGGTACCGAGCCCACTCGTTGTTGTTGGCCTGCTCGGGAAACACGGACTTGGAGACGAGTTTTTCTGCTTGGTCGTGGAGGTTGTAGTGGAGATAATTCCTCAGCAGCAGGTTCAAGAGCGTGGCCTGTCCGTCTGCATCGTGGCGCAGCGTGGCCGTCCGGAGCCGGGCGTGCAGGAAGCTGCAGGAAAGGGACAGAGCGTGTCAGGGAGGAGGAAAGAAACAGCCTCACTCGTTGGCAGGGGGTTCAGGGAGAGCCCGCACGCAGGACCCACCCTACCTCCTGACCACGTCGAGTTTATTCAGGAATTCATAGATGCGGGAGTGGTAGTAATAACATTTTGCCACCACCAGGTCAAGGGCGCGGCGGTTTTGGGAACTGATCTTCTGCATCAGGTCGTCGGACACTTTCTGAGCCTGCAGGAGGGGAAGAGAGGTCAGAGCAGAGGAACTGCTGCCCGGGAAGAGCAGAGAGACGGACAGGGCTGCAGGACTGAGCCCGGCGCTGCCTTCAAACAACAGCTGAAACAAAGGGAAAGGGGGGTGCTGCAGATGGGCAGGTCCCCGGGGCAGGAGCGCCGCACGAAGAGCTCAGCTTGCGAGCTGGCAGCTCAGGGAATCTCACCTCCGGGTATCGCTTGCTGTTCATCAGGTAGATGACGAGCAGCAGCTGGAGGTAGGTCTCCACTTCTGGCAAGAGAGGGGCTGAGGCCGCCTTCCCCGTCCGCGGGCGGAATTGCAGCTCAGCTTCCGTGTCCATGGACTGGAGGGGGGAGAGAGACGTGCTGGACCCCCGCCCCTCCCGCGCTCCCCAGCCTGTCCCGGGTGACAGCTTGAGGTGTGACAACAGCCAGCCCGGGCTGCTGGCACTACAGTCCCATCCCTGCCGAGACCTGCAGCGACTCATCCCACCTCCCCTGCAAGTCCCAAGCGTCCCCAAGCCCCCGCTCTTCCCAGTGCCCTCCCGCCCTGCACAGCGGCGTTCCGGAGGCTCCTCGGCGCGGGAACGGTGTCCCCTCCGCAGCCGGGCGCCTCTCCCCGTCCCCCGCTGCCGTACCTCCTCCAGGAAGCCGAGGAGAAAGTCCCGCATGGTGCTGTTGGAGGTGAAGAAGCCGTTGATGGCTTTGTGAAGCACGTTGGAGTTGAGTCGGCGCGAGGTGGAGGGCAGAGCCCGCAGCGCGCGCAGGACGTAGCGCGGCTCCTTCCCCGACACGGCCTTCTCCAGCTGCTTCACGTGCTCCTTGATGTCTGCGGGAGCGCAGCGGCCGCGGTCAGGACGCGGCGGAGCGAAGCCGGAGCCGGGATCCCTCCGGGTGCCCCGTCCTGCTGCTCTCCGGTCCCTCCGTCTGCCCATGGCAGCGGCGGTGCGCGGCCTCGGTGTCCCGAGTGACCTGACCTCACCCCGCGGCCATCCCTGCCCGGGGCAGGGGGCTGGAGCGGGAGAAGGGGTTTCCTGTAAGCGCAGATAAACCGGGGGAGGAAGGAGCGATGGCTCTCGCCGGTCGCTCTCCTGGGAGCCGCCACAGGCCCCGTCTGCGGCCAAACACGCCTGGGCAGCGGCCTCCCCGCGGCAGGACGGCGACGACGGCTTGGGATGGGGCAGGGGGGCTCTGGCCTCACACCTGCCCCTTCCCAGGGCTGGGAGATTGGGGGAAGGCAGAATGGGGACCCCCCCGGCACCCGCTGGAGCTTGGCTCTGTCTGTGCCG